ATGCACGCTGCATCTAAAGGACAGAAACAAACCGTACAACTTTTGCTTGAGAGAGGAGCTGATATAAACAGTGTATACAACAATAATCAAAACGCTATAATGGCCGCTGCTGCAAATGGATATAACGAAATAGTGAAGCTACTACTTAATAATAAAGCTAAAGTCAATAGCAAAAACAGCAAAGGTCAAAACGCTTTTATCTTTGCTGCTGCCAATGGACATAAAAAAACAGTTCAGCTACTTATTACATGTAACGCTACCGTTATTGGTAGAGTAAAAAATAAAACGTGTATCCGACTCCCTCAAGACGATAATCGCAAAACTGCATTAATGTATGCTGCTGAAAATGGACATACGGACATTGTAAGATTGTTACTTAAAAAGTACCGTAACGTTAACAAGCAAGACCGAGACGGACGCAGCGCTCTGATGTTCGCTTCCGCTTCAGGGAAAACGAAAACTGTGGAAAAAATGCTGGAAAATCATGCGAGTATAAACATGAAAGATAAAAAAAGATGGAGCTCTTTACTGCATGCAGCAAGTAATGGTCGGACTGACACTGTAAGACTGTTGCTAACTAAAACAGAGAACTGTAATATTGGAGACGATCATGGACGAAACGCCCTAATGTTAGCATCTTTTTATGGATATACAGAAATTGTTCAGCTTTTGATTGAAAGTAATGTCGAAATTCAGACCGAAGACAATGAAGGAAAAAATGCATTAATGCTATGTGCTATGAACGGACATACTGAAACAGCAGAGGTTTTAATTCAAAATGACATAGAAATTGACAGAATGGATAACCATCACAGTAACGCTTTAATTCATGCTGCTTGTAATGGACATACTAAAATTGTCAAACTGCTTATTACCAACAAAGCAAAAGTTAATAGCTTCGATCGTTCTAAATATAATGCTCTGATGTATGCATCTTCATACGGACACAAAAATGTTGTTAAAATATTACTTGAAAATAACGCGGATTTGAATTGTGTAAATAGAGATGGATGGAACGCATTTTTACTGGCTGCCTGGAATGGACAGAAAGAGATAATGAGTTTATTACTTAGTAAAAACGTTTCTTTAAATAGCAAAGATTTCAGTGGACGCAACAGCTTAATGCTGGCAGTATCTAATGGACAAACCGAAACAGTTAAGTTTCTACTCCATAAAAACATCGATGTTACGTGTAAAGACAATGATGGATTTAATGCTATCATGTACGCTGCATCAAATGGGCACATTGAGACTTTAGAAGTTTTATTAACTATCGAAGCAGATGTTAACTGCAAAGACTATAAAGACCTCAGTTGTTTAATGCACGCTGCTTCGAATGGACATATAGAAACAGTTAAGCTGCTGCTAAAAAAGAAAGCTGACATTAAATATAAAGATAATGAAGGAATGAATGTTTTAATGCATGCTGCATCGCACGGACGCAGCAAAACTGTAAGTGAATTACTTCAATGTAACGCTGATGTTAACAGCACAGATAACAATAACATGACCCCTGTAATGCATGCATCGTCCAAAGGTCACAATGATACTGTAAAGCTCTTGATAGAGCGTCAAACAAACATTTACAGTAAAGATTTCAAGGGATGGACCTGTCTATCACACGCTGCTAATAATGGCCATAATACGACCGTCCAACTCTGGCTAGACAATAATGTGGACATTAACAAAAAACATAAAGATGGAGGGAACGCTTTAATGCTTGCCGCTAGTAGAGGCCATTCTATAACGGTAAATATTTTACTTGAAAACCATGCAGAAATAAATGCTAAAGATAAAAACGAGCGTAATTCATTAATGATGGCTGCAGCTAATGGAAATTTAGAAACATTTAATATTTTACTTGAACGAGGAGCCGATCTACACAAAATTGACACAAATCGTCAGAACGCGTTAATGCATGCTGTGCTTTATGGGCGTATTCATATCGTAAAAGTTTTAATGCAACAATATACTGAAACTATTTTCCAGGATATTAAGGATATTAAAGGAAGGGACGTTTTATCTTTAGCTTCTATTGAGGGACATGTGGATATTGTCAATTTACTTTTTAATAATATAGTTAATATTAATATAAACTCTAAAGACTATGAGGGATGCACACCTTTAATGCTTGCTTCTTCTAATGGACATATAAAAAATGTTAAAATTCTGCTTGAGAAAAGGGCCGCAATAAATTGGCAGGATAAGAGAGGAAAGACGGCGTTAATGCATGCAGCGTCTAATGGGCATAAAGAAATTGTTATCGTTTTAATAAATAACGATTCATCAGAACTAAATTCAAAAGACGTTGAAGACCGTAACGCCTTAGATCACGCTGTTGATAACAATCATATTGACGTAGCTAAACTGCTACTTAAAAAGAAGTTACATAGTACTACAGCTTTAGGCATTGCTTCAACTAATGGACAAACTGAAATTGTTGAATTATTATTGAAATGTGAGGCTCCAATTAATGCACATAGCAATCATCCGACTATTTCGCTTTGCAATCGTACTGATTATCCATTAAATAAAGCTGTTGAAAACAGACATATTGACACTGTAAAGATGTTACTGAAATATGGCGCTGACATTAACCTCGGATATGTTACTGAAATGAACTCTGTTGCTTTAGCCGTTTCCAATGGAGACGATGATATTGTAGAGGTTTTACTCACAACTAAGCCTTCCAAAATATATAGGAAAAGAACACAAACATGCAGTCCTCTATTGTGGACAACAACAAGAGAACTTAAAGCAAAAAGCCATGGAAAATGTGCTTTAGGCATTGCACATGCGATGGGAAATAAACCAATGATCAGACTCTTACTAGAATACAGAGATGAACGTCTATGTGACAAATGCAAGGAAATAAAACATATAACAGGTACGTGCTTATTGTATACCCTATATAGAAATAGCTAACCGATCAAACATAGACAGATACATAGCTAATACAGTGAGTAAATTTTCAATTTTATATTCAAGCAAATGTTCATCAATAGAAAAAAACTTTACGATTAATAAAATATGTCTTCGTTCAACGAAGGCTCATAAGACTCTAATCTTACAAAAGACGTCTATTAATTATTTTTATGTCTCAATTTTTTTAAATTTTCTTCCATTAAATCAATAGTTCGAAAGCCTTATACAACTAGGTCGAAAAAAGTCACCATAGGGCTTACACCTTACATCTACAATTCAGTCAACGCTGCTCTTTATAATATTGCCATCGCATTCAGTGATCGTGGATGCACTTCAAAACATTTTTGAGAGCTCTACTAAATGCGTCCTTCAATAAAATGTAGTCAGAGGCGTAGCGAGGGGGGGGGGGGCAGATCGCACCGGGTGGTGACACCAAGGCAAAAATAGCAAAATATGAAGAGAAAAACTTGAGGGGGGTGCAAATCGAATTTTGAGGGGGGGGGGGTGCAAATCGAAAACTTGAGGGGGGGGGGGGTGCAAATCGAAAGTTTTAGGGGGGGTGCAAATCGAAAATTTGAAAGTTTGTCCCCGGGAAGGGTCGCCACGCCTTCGGTGGGTGACACCATTAAGTGGTGCACCGGGTGACACCCGACCTCGCTACGACACTGAATGTAGTTTTATGTTTTTCGATATTTTATTTAATTGGTGTGTTAGAGGTACATAAAGTAACATTTAAACCACAATAACTCTCAGTCAACACATTGGTCCTGTACTAACCACTTTTAAGTTTTTAAAGGACTGGATTATTACGTTATTATATTTTTTCTTCTCTGTAGGTTCTGTGAAATACGACTTGCCTGATGAAATACTGAATAAGGTAATTTCTGAACTAGAAGCTAACCAACTATCCACTGTATTAGGTAAGAACTGGGAAGGTGTCATGTACAATCTGGGTCTATCAAACGTCGAGTTAGAACAAGAAAAGCAAACGAACGGCAATGTCGTATCAACAACGATCAGCAGTTTGCTTATCAGATGGAAGCAGCGGTCGAAAGAAAAAGCTACAATAGGATTTTTGTTGAAAATATTCGAAGATTCTGAAGATAAAAATCTTTCTTTTATAGACTGGGAGAGAACTGGGAGGATTTTTGAAATAAGATGAAAATTTTGATCATGGAGATCTTTCATCTTAAGCACCACCAATTCTTAAGTCAACATTGAATTCGGCAATAAAATAAAATTTAAATCAGGTCTTGTAATCAATGTTAAAAAATGTCATTGTTGTTACCAAATCACCTTATATCTATGTTATATATATATATATATAAAGGAAGGTATAGTATGTGTGTTTTTTGTGCTTGTTTGTGGGTTTGCGGATTTGTCCTTTTTGCATTACTACACCTTTAATCCGATCACCATGAAACGTTGGGCAGTTGATGAAAATACTCCAGGATTGGTTTGTACAAAAACAATTTCAATTTTACAGGGGCGGCGCCCTGGCAGGGTGCGATTTGGCGCCCCGGGCAAACAATGCGATAGATTATGGGTACGTTAGTAGCTTACTAAATTGAATAAGGTGCGTCCGCCCGACTTCGGCATGATGCAGTTTGTATTATAATCGCTCAATAAATGTGTAATACGGTTTCAAATATTTATTTTGCATTATTTTTTAATTTAAATTCATATTTTTATACAAAATACCTTATTTAAAAAAAAAAAAAAACGACTGTGGCTTTTCTTACATTTTGAAAAAGCAACGAAGAAAATGTACATATTTTCCCAAATTTGACTAGTGTATGGAATTTAATTATTATACATTTTTTATTGTAATACACATTTTGTTATATACTGCAAAGAGTACCAATGTTTGTACATTTAAAATTTATTATGTAATTAAAATATTATAAAAGCCTACTTAATATCTTTAAACAAGTAACCAACATTTAGATGTTACATTTATTTTTAGTACGATTTTTATGTTTTCATTCTTTTGTTAGGTTGAAAGCCAGTTAATTGGAATGGATATACATAGTACGTTTGATGCAATTTTATGTAATAAAACATTAATATTAAATCTAGAACTCTAACATTTAACACATTAATCAGTTTACAATAGCCTTATAAAAACACGAGAAGTTTCTGTAGTTGAACTAGTATTTAAACATGTTGGAATGTCTGATGTTAGTTTTACATTACTATAATAAAGAAATATGTCATTATTGAATAATTAATAAGCACTTTAACTGACAAAAGTTCTAAATGCACACATTTTTATTTAATTTTAGGGGAATAGTTTATTTATATACTCAGCAATTTATATCTTTTTAAAAAAAAAAAAACTTTTTAACTGACATCGGTCCAAACATGATAAGAAGTAATAGAGACACTGGGTGGAACATTTAAATGTGCTAACATTTAATATGATGGATAAGTCGACACAAAAATTTGTCATGTATAATAACTATAATCAAACTATTCGTTATATGCACCCGAGACCAAATAATAAGTAGATATTAGATAATTCTATAATTCTAAGTGAACAGTAGAAACTTATACAATAAAACGTAATTATTACACACTAATGTAATGCATAGTAAATTGTATTAATTTATACAATGATCAGTAAATGGTACTAACTGGTACTGTATGTAATACAGAGTATTTTCATTTTTAACAAAGAAATTTGTTCTACTTAAAAGAAAAGCTGCAGTTTCAATTTCAATAAATAGCTTTAATGTTATTTTTACAAGCTTTTATTTCACTTTCTTCCTAGTCATGTCCACCTGTTTAGATCGAAACGGGCGAGTAAAATTTCGAGCATTTCTAAACCACTAATTTATATGTAATTTGGCACGTGAGTCAAGACCAGATGACAATGCAATATGACATCAAATGTGACTTAATTGGATGATTAATTCATTTCTTATGAATTAAAAATTCTAAAATTTGTAGGATGACCTTCTATTATTCCGCAATATTATAAGTGACTTATTCACTTTTATCAGCATTTTTATACGAATAGTGTCAAAAGATTTGATTTCGATGAAGTAAGTAGAAACATTCAAATTAGAACACGACATGTACACGACAAAAACAACTAATGCTAAACGTTATTTAGCGCCCAAGGCAAAACTTATTAAAACGCCGTGTGTGCTTGTTTCTTTGTCTGTTTGCCTGTTATTCATTTCTACACCTTTCATCCTATCGCCATGAAACTTTGAGAAGTTGTTGAAAATACTCATAGGGAGGATTCTGTGAAGAAAAAAAAAATTCAAATTCGCAGGGGTGGCGCCCCGGCAGGGCGCCTTTTGATTTTGCTCTATATACGGTATATAAAAATAAAAGTCAAATGCGGTTTGACACTGTTCATCCGATCGCCTTAAAACTTCGGTGAGTTGATAAGAACACACCAAGTTGCTGTGGAAAAAAAAATTATTTTGCAAGCGCGGCACCCCAGGAGGGTGCGATTTTAAAAAAAATGAAATTCGTATGCCGTTCGACATCGTTTATCCGAGTGCCATAAAACTTTGGGGGGGGGGGGTTAATAAAAATATTCCCGAGAAGATTTTTTTAGGGGGGGGGGGCGGTTAAATTTCACTCTGGCGGCCCTCGACAGGATGAAAGTTAGCGCCCCGGTCTTTCTCGTCAACGGAAACAGTTAGATACATTATTGATAAGATGGGGCGTTATATTTATTCAATAAATTAAATCAGGCGTATTAACCGGCGTCCCGGCAGGCTGCGATTTTGCACCCCGGGCAATCCTGTTAGCTATATTGCGCCTACATCTGTTTTAAATATTGCTAAAGACTATGCATAAGATTGGGTTTCAGAGTCGTTCACTATTCATAATCAGGCGCTTCCGCAGGAGACCCGGCAGGGTGCGATTTTGCGCCCCGGACTTTTTTGGGCAGTAGTGCTGGAAATCCGTGCCCCGATAAATGATTCAAGCGCAGGCACTATTTACATTTAAATAACTCGGTTTTAGAAAAAAAGGTCACGCATCTAGGAATAAAGGATTGGTAAAGCACTGAGGAAACCCTCCTAATATATTTTGTCAGATTTTGTTTTTGTGTTTTATGCATTGCTACACCTTTCATCTGATCGCTATGAAACTTTGGAAAATTGTTGAGAATACCATGGGGGAAAAAAATCAATTTTGTACAAGCGGCGCCCCAGCAGGGTGTGCATTTGGTACCCCGGGTAATCGAGTGAGCTTTATGGCACCTACGTTAGTTTTAAACAAAGCGGTAGACTATGCATAAAATGGGGCATTTAGTCGTTCACCAAAATCAGTCAGACACATACGTTTGCTTTAAAGATCGTGATAGAATATGGATTAGAAGTAGTATTATAGTCGTTCACGAAACTCAATGAGGCGTGCCTGCGCTCTGGCAGGGTACTATTTGCCCCGGGCTATCCTGGGACTTCTTTTAACCCAGCGGCAACACGCGGAGACGGGGACGCTAGTAAATATATGTAAATGTATATATATATATAAATATATATATATATATATATATATATATATATATATATATATATATATATATATATATATATATATACATATATATGAGTGTGTGTGAGTGTGTGTGTGTATGCATGTGTGTGTATGTATTGGAGTATTAATTCTGTTTTGAATCTTATGGTGCCAACAATTAATTTAGTTTGAAAGTCTAAATCTCTCCCTGGCAAACGAGATTTCTAATTCAAAGTGAGAGAAAATGAGAATCAGAAATTAAAATTGCACAGGCGCCGATCCAAAGGAGGCCTAATTTGTAGATGGAGTGCAAAATGGATAGTTCGTCCAGGGCACCGAAATATATCGCCACGTCTTTGTATAATTCCCTAAAGTTATTCATTATTAGGTACTTTTTACTATTGGAGATTACACATTTGGATAGCGCCCTAGGCTACCGCCTAGTTTGCCTTATAAGTAGCGCCGGCCCTGTATGTAAGGGATAAAACTGTTGGATAAATCTTCTAAAAGTCTAGAAGATACTTATGTTTTACTTTTAAATTAAAGGAACTATGTGTATTGTTTAAACAAAAAAATGTATGATTATATTTAAAAATATTACAACGTGATATTCTTAAGCTGTCAATAAAGAATGTTTACAACTTGGTTATATAATCCTTAAATATAACCTATGCTATGTGTATGTCCTTGATTCAGAACAGGACATACATTTAAATGGCTGAAACTGGCTGTTTAGCATACTGTAAATTCGCGTTAAACTATTTTCGATTTCCACTCAAGCATGAATTCACTTCAAAGCGTCGGTTGAAAAGAAATACCAATCGGCTAACAACATAATGTAAAGACCAAATCAAATTTAAAAACATAAATCAATACGCACGATTTATGGCACAAAATCAAAAATCGATTTCGGATTCATTCTATGAGCTTTAACTGGCACAGCAACTTTTTGCCCTGACCTAAGAACTTCCTAAATTACGTCACAAGGTACAACACTAAATGTTGTGAATAATTACATGGTATACACATTTTAGCAGGTATATGTGTGTATATATTTGTATGTGTAGATATTTTGTATCTATTTGTTTCCCTCTCCCTCTCCTCTCTCTCTCTCTCTCTCTCTCTCTCTCTCTCTCTCTCTCTCTCTCTCTCTCTCTCTCTCTCTCTCTCTCTCTATATATATATATATATATATATATATATATATATATATATATATATAAACATATGTGTAACCCATTTAATAAACACATATATTAGTTATTCTGTCCTGCTACCATCCATTGTTAAACTACGCTATATATAAAGCCGAAACGAAAAAATAGATTGTTAAACTAATCACTGTAATTATGATGTTTTGTTGTGTGATACAATGTTTTCTTAACTAGAATATTTTTATGAAGTTAACAAAACTTTTTAAAAGTTTTAAAAAATAATCATAAAAACAGAAGTATTTTCGGCTAAAATTAATCAAATTTTTATTGCACTCCTAATTGGAAATTTTAAAAAAAATCCTAATTTAAAAAAAAAGAACAATCGAATTCATAAAAACAAAAGTATTTTCGGCTAAAACTAATTAAGTTTTTATTGCCCTCCTAATTGGAAATTAAAAACAAATATTCCTAATTTATAAAAAAACAAGAAACTCGAATTCTACATTTTAGAAGCCTCTTTATTTCACAATAAGACCAATTTTCAAACATTTGTCATTCTTATATGTTGTCGATAAATAAATTCAATGTTGTTCTGAAAGAAATAATCGTATTATGTGAAAATAAAAAGATACGTTTCGATATTTTTATACATTTCATTAATTTGTATTTTATAAAAGAAGTTTTTAAAATACAATTTCAAAAATATATAAACGGTTTAAACATATTTAAAAACAACCAGACAAAAATGTATTTGCCGGTGAACCAAACCATCGAGCATAGTCTTTGTTCAGTATACACGTCTGTAAAGGGCGATAACCGTCTCTTTCTTCCATAATGACAGGGTTGTGGTTATTCCTGTGTACTTCTCTCCCATTAGCACAAATAAAGCGACGAACAAAGTCTACATTCTGTAGCCTGTCTTCAACGTCTGGGCCGTTATCGTTTTCAAAACCTTTACGACATGCCGTCACGACTTCTCCCCATTCCCTTTCATCCTCTAGAACCAGCCCATTCCCCATTGTCCATTTCCGTTTTCTTCAGCTTGAATATGACAACAGCTTGAAGCTCTGGCTTATGGGTGCAGCTCCACTCAACCGATTTACACAAGTTGTTGATCACATAAAAACCTTTGGCGTGAGAAAAATCTAAATTATGTTTTCCTTTCACTAACTTTATTCCCCGCTCTAAAATGTTTACAGCAATTAGCAATGAAGTACCGTGAAAAAGATTTTTTTTTGGTTTCAAATCCTTGTATTATTTTAATACCTTTTTCTATCGTCTAATTTGCTTGTGGTAATTGTTTGGTAAACAAACGCAATATCTTAAAAGCTAATGTGTTTACCAACGGGTAATGTTTGTTTAGGAATAAAATGATGTACCAGCACACAGGTAACTTGATCGACATGTGCAGTCAAGGAGTGGGGGAAAGTTCACGTCAAGTCAAATATTTTGTGGTAATGTTGTTTACAGGTTAGGTCTCTGGGTTCTACATTAACTTCTGTTTGGTTAGTATTTTAAAACTGTCAGATATAACTTGTAATCTAGTTTCCCATGAACCACACAAATATAAATATACTTATAATATTTTAATAATTTCATGGCTTAGTGTGTTTTTTAAATCAATTTACACAAAAATGTGCATCCGACTAAATATTATTCACACAGTCGGCACTGACCACGTCCATACCAAATTACGTTTGTCTTACAAAACAGATACTACAATGACAGTAAAGGCTTATATATACATACATATATATATATATATATATATATATATATATATATATATATATATATATATATATATATATATATATATTAGCAGAACATTAAATGATATTTACATAAGTTACATAAATTACATTTTTCTCTCACCGTCTCTCTTTTCTTTCATTATTTTACTATTAAAAATGAACTGAAGTCGACTGGTAAATAACTTTAGTAAGACAACCCATTTAGATTTGCACGTACAACACATTGAATCACGTCGACACACAAGGAAATTACAAAAAAAAAAGTGTCGTGAAGAATTTATTTTGACTGAACCATCTCATTGCACATTTGATTTCAGGCTAGTCATGGGTTAATTTGGTAAATTATATCAGCCTAGAAATGATAAACAATAAAAACAGGTAATTTACATTATCATTTTTGTCAAATGCAACTCGGTAAAAAGAAAATCATTTTATTGTAAGCTGAACTCATGTATCATTCATGTTTCTTTTTATTCTGGTGCTAACATTGACATCATCATGTTTAAAAAAAACCTAAGAAATGCATTGCAAAGGCTGTCGCCAATACCCTTTTTAAAAATGTCCAATTATATGTAATTTTATTTTCGATCTAAAGTAAATTAATTTATATTATTTTAGACTTCTTTATACTGAAAAAATATCCACTACAAATATGTTTAGTTTTCTCAGATGTTTTCATAGTTACACTTTCACTTTTTACAATCAAATTTTGATTTATCTATTAGCCTTTTCGTAATAAATACAATATACAGTTTGCTCGATTTAAATACAAACACACGTTACCTCTTCATTACTTTACATCTCAGAAATGTCATAGAATAAAATATAATTTAAGATGATTGCAACATAAGACATCATTTGTAGTTTAAATATATTTAAAACAAATAAGCAAGAGAAAATAAATCTGCTCTTGGTTATTACAAGAATGATAGGGCTATAAGCAATACCTTGACATCAACCGTGAACGTCGACACACCATGAACGTGTTAATTATGCTACTTAAATTGATTTACTACATAACATACCTACATTTTTGTTTTTAGTATTTTCAACAACTTAACACAGTTTTTTTTTAAATACATAAACACCGACAAATATATTAAAGTTTTCTGTATATGTGGCTTTTATATAGTTATATAATTCAAAAAATGTTACCTAACACTATTTCCAGGCTTTAAAAGATTCTCTTTTATAGCCGCTTAATGGCAAAATAAAAAAAAAACATGCTTTTTTCCATGTTAAAAAAAAATGATCGAATCCAACTTGTCAAACTCTATTAGCTCTTAGAACTGACAAAATACATTCCCAGTCTATATAAGCTTGATTGTGATCTTGAGAAAATTTTAATTTTTCTATTAAAGTACCGAAAGTCGCATTTGTCGTGGACCGCTGCTTCCATCTCATCAACAAATGGATTATTGTCATTTGGACGTCACGGCCGTTTGATTGAAACACCTGGCATACCTCAGCATACGATAGATCCAGGTTGTACATTACACATTCCCAGTGATCACTGAGAGCTGTTGAAAGGCGACTAATCTCAGATTCCGAAATAACCCTTTTTTTATTTCTTCTGGCAAGTCATCTATCGTAGAAACTACAAGAAAAACAAAGAATAATAAATAATAAAATTAAATAATAGTTTCGGGTGAGAAAAGTGTAAAATATATAACTAATGGAAGTTATAAACAAACAAACAATCAATAACAAGGTTAATTTTGAAAATGTTGATATGGATTCAGAAAAAAAAATGATATATAATAATAATAATAAAAACCACGGCTATATTTGCCCTAAGCTTTAGACGACTTAAACTACAAATAGATTTCTGCCTCGGGCTTTTAATTAGCAAAGTAGGCCTACCCAAACAAATTGCATTGATTAATAAAATGTACTGGCCCGCAAAATAGAACGTAAAAACTATATGCACGCTTCTCCTGCAGCTTAGAATGGTTAGCAAGAATCCCAACATCACATCGAAACGAAAATCACCATTACAGCTTATTTTTTACGGTCGATTTTTATATTTTTTGACATATCACAGATTTTACTATCCAGATAATTTTCAACATATTTTTGCGATTTGTTATAGGTCAATTTAAGCTATAAAAGGGCGGCACAAAATGCGCATGGATATACTAATACAACTTAAGTTGAAAATACATTCCTTAAACTTGCTCTTATATCAAATAGTATTTATTTTAAAGAAATTTCCGCTATTGAAATTAGTTGGAACTCTCTCTTTCTCTCTTTTTCTCGTTCTCTCTCTCCATCTCTCTCATCTCTCTCTCTCTCTCTCTCTCTCTCTCTCTCTCTCTCTCTCTATATATATATATATATATATATATATATATATATATATATATATATATATATATATATATATGTATATATATATACATACATATATATGTATGTATATATATATAGAGGTTTACATTTTATAGTGTGTATAACAAGGGCTGCATTGATCCAAATAAGATGTATATGCACAAAATCAAGGCCTATTAATACCTATGAGATTTTAAATTATTTCTGTATTACTTTAATATTACCAGAATATTAAAGTTAGATAAAGTGAGACCTACCTTCCTGGATATTATAAATATCTTCATCAGTTATGCTACAACATTCGCTACAGTGATCGTCGTCTCTGTATTTTTGTAGCAATCTGAAGACTTCCTTATTACCATCGGATAGTGCTATCTTTAAAGCACATTTACCGTGAGCGTTTTTCTGATGAGAATCACCTGTACTTATTGCGGCCGTTACTCGTTCTTTTTCTTCAGCGTTTAATGCATAGATCAAGGGACTGAACCTTCTTTCGTCAGCATTGTTACTTGAAACTATATAGTCAAGTAACACTTGAACAATGTCACTAAATCCTTTAGAAACTGCTAAAGCTAACGGGTTTAGCCCCTCTTTATCTCCTAAGTTAAGATCTGCACCATGCTGGAGTAGCAATTGTACAATTTCAATATGCCTATTTTCAACTGCACACATTAAAGGATGTTTAGAACCCACATATACACCATTAACTGGAGCTTTAAACTGAAGAAGTAGTTTAACCATTTTAGTACGGCCTTGGGATGCTGCAAGACATAATTCAGTAAGATTACAGTCTTTTAATGTCGAAAATATTGATTTATTTTCCAGTAATAATTTTGCCGATTTGATATCTCCAGCAGAAACAGCATGAAATAAAGCGTTACGATTTTCCCGGTCTTTGGCGTTTACATCGGCTCCATTGTTTATTAGCACTTTTAAAATTCCTACATGTCTTTTTGCCACGCCATGCATTATAGCAGTCATTTTGTCTTTATCCACATCTTTAACATTAGCACTGTTTTCAAGGAGCAGAATGAAATTGTCTTATGTCCATTAGATGAAGCATGCATCAGAGGGGTACGGCTATAATAATCTTTAGAGTTCAATTCTTTCTTAACATTAATCAATAACTGAATTGTTTCAATGTGCCCTTTACTTGCTGCAAGTGATATTAAGTCCATCCCTTCTGCATTTTTATCATTTTGATTAGGATATTTTGTTATTAATGTTTGAACTATTTCTGTATATCCATTAGAAACAGCTTGTGTGAAAGTGTTCAAAATGTTGACATCACCATTAGTATCATTATATGCAAACTCTAACAACGTATTTACTGTTTCTAAATGTTTGTTGGATACAGAGCGATCCATCCTATATTGTCTTTTACTTCAGCATCTGCGTTGTTGTCAAGCAACAGTTTTACAGTTGTAGAATATCCTCTTGAAGCGGCAAGCATTAAAGCATTCCCTACATCTTTATGGTTTTTGTTAATGTCCACATTATTGTCCAGCCAGAGTTGTACGGTCGTATTATGGCCATTATTAGCAGCGTGTGATAGACAGGTCCAACCATTGATATCTTCATTGTAAATGTTAGCTTGACGCACTATTAAGAGCTTTACAGTATCATTGTGACCTTTGGACGATGCATGCATTACAGGGGTCATGTTATTGTTATCTGTACTGTTGACATCAGCGTTACATTGAAGTAATTCATTTACAATTTCATAACATCCGTTCAATGCAGCATGCATTAAAACGTCCATTCCTGCTTTGTCTTTATATTGAACATCAGCTTTCTTTTCGAGAAAGTAGAAATATGTCAAAACACTATTAAGCAGCATAATCGTCCATTAGGGTGCAAACATAAATACTTTTTGTTTACAATTATTCAGTTACACAGCCATCCTTCAATATGTTTGAGTTCTCGTGAGCGATAAAAGCTTTATTAAAGAATGCCTGGTTGTTTAATTTTCTTATTTTTATTGCATTTTATGGTTTATTATTATAACGTTTTTTTAAATGTGTTTAAAGAGTTATTATGTTAAGCTTTTTTTGTGATAAAACACAAAAATTTGAAATTTAAACTTATTTAAACTACAAATATAAATAAAATAATTAGGGAGGAATTCTGTTAAATAAATGATTTTTATTGTTATAACTATATTTAACAGATTAAAGTAAACAGAATGAATAAAGCTTCATAACAAAATATTTAAATGTGCGCGTTATTTTTGTACCAAAATTTTAAAAGTGAAATGAAAACAGCCGAAGCGTAACTAATCGTAAAATAAACTTTTGAAGTGCTCCTTTTTCATACATATTTTAAAGGAAAGACACATAGGCTATAGGTACAAGCTAGCAATCGATTTTAACACAAATATAGGTGTGGATTTTCGGTTAGTGAAGTGTAAGACAGGTTTAAAATATGATATGGGCTTGGCTTATCACGCGACTGGGATATCTTATCTAACCTGCAGAGTGACAGTGGTGTCGATTGTAAAGCAGACGGTATAAACGATTCGACTATTTGTTACAGTGTGATTTGATTTTAGTCTATACAATATATTTTGTTATATTTGAAATTTTAAAATATTTTAAGGTAGGTATTCCTGTTACATTTAGAATTAATAACTTAATACTAATTGATTTTATATATTAGTATAAACACTTACCATTACAGATAAGAAAATTGTAGAAACACTAATTCGGCCTTAGTACATCGTGTTACCTTGTTATGTAGGTAAATAAGTTTAGCAAATTTTCAGTCTTTAGAAATAGCATATTTTTATTTATGAGCAATCCCTAACTGTGATTTATTATTATTACATAGAGCAACAACAATTTTAAAAAGTTAAGAGAACATTGATTTAATTAATTTTTTTTCAGCCTAAACAGAACAGCAAACAATCCGTTGAACACGTTATAATCAAGACAATCAACCATTTAACATGGATATACTGTCTGTTATTATATGGTTTTGCTTAATTGCTCTATACCGACGTCATCACGGTACATCTTATTCAGATAGTGACAATACGAAAATTTTAATCTTTGCTCCAATACCATTATATATTTTTAAAGAGATATCTAAAAAAGTTGAAGATTTAAAGCAATCCTCTTCCCTAGAAATTGAACAAACATATAATGAGCTTATGGAGTATAAAAATATTTTAAACCACGAAGACGGGGTCACACCATTAATGTTGGCGTCAATGACTGGTAACATTATAGCTGTGAAGCGCCTATTAGCAGAAAACGTCGATGTGAATGCTGTGTCAAACTTTGGAGTAACTTCATTGCATTTAGCCTCATTGAAAGGTCATGACAAAATTGTTGAAAGACTTCTAAAAAATAATGCTGATTCCAGTAAACGCGTACACAATTCAACCCCATTAATGATGGCTGCCGCAAGAGGTCATATAAAAACTGTTACGGTGTTGTTGAAATACAATGCAAGCATTCATGCAGAATTTCAAGAACATTTTACCGCTTTCAACTTTGCAGTAATCACAAACAACACAAATATTGTAGAATTGATTTTAGAGCACAGCAAAAGAAATACACATCAACAAATACCAAAGAAACAGCTACATTATTCTTTAGCAGTTGCTGTTAGTCGTGGCTTTACTAAAATTGTTGACTACATACTTAATGTTACTTCTTGCACTGAGATTGTGAAGCAAGGAATCGTTGTAGCATTATTAAATCACGACTATGCGGTTTTAGATGTATTTTTTAAACATTGTGATGTGAACAGCATATTTTATAACGGAATTCCCTTATTGCATATAGCAATGGCGCATGAAAATGTGGATACCGTTGAATATTTATTGCAACGAAACGCAAATGTCAATGTTGATTTTGAGAACTACACCCCATTAATAATAGCTTGTACTAGAGGTCAAGTGGATATCGTTAAGATACTATTGAAATATAAAGCTGATGTTAATTATAAATCTTTTTATTCATTTACTGCACTGTTTAGTGCTATTGTTAACGACCACAACGAAATTGTGGAGTTGCTCTTACAACACAACGCTGATTTGGGAATCATGTACAACAATAGCGTAACTGTATTGAAAGCTGCTTCACATAGAGGAAACAGTTATGTGAAGGACTTACTTCTGGCGTATGGTGCAGATGAAAACATTTGGGAATACGCAAAATATAATTTGTGTGTTATTTTCATCCTTTTTCAAATTTCATTCATACAATGGACATTACAATGTATTATAAAAGTAGGTTGTTTAATTAATTACTAGTGAGTTATGCTATTTTTAAACCTAATTTGCAAAGTGTAAATAGACTTGATGTTTGTAACTAGAGTTAAATTTAATTTTAATGTTTCCCATACATATAAGCTATTACACATTAAACAAAAAAAAATACATTAATATATTAATGTCATGTTTTAACACTGCATACAGTGGCGTAGCTACCTTAAAGCTCACATAACCAAGACATTGGGGCCTAAGTAACATAGGCGCTCTTTGCCACTTTGAAAACTTTTTTTTTACTTTGAAATTTGAATATGTTTTAAATATTTAAAAAAAGAAAATGGATATCAATTTTTTTCCAGCTGTTCGTCCTTTCATAGCGTACATGCAGTCTCATGCAAAAGTTTATTAGGACGGAGGGGGCCGAATTTGCTGTTCAGTCACACCCGTACTAATACAATGACACGTATTATTGGGCTAGTTCAAAAAACCAAAAAATAGCATTCCGTGGTCATCGTAAATGATATTTTGATTTATGTGATAAATTTGTTTTTTTAAATCTCATTATTTCCTTATTCTGAAGATGTTATGAACAAAACATGGATGTTTGTTTCAGTAACTTAACTATCCTTACTATCGAATATTCAGAAGCAGATAAAATGTATCTTCATGAATGTTTTTGTTATAATGCAAATTTAAGAGCAAGACAATTTTTTTTTAAATCTAAAAAAAAAATGAGAAACTTTTAAAATATTAAGTTTGGTTAGCTACGTCACCAGGTCAGTTGTTACCCTGTGCGTTTACTGAGTGTATCACCCCCACCTCCTCCAAAATGTTCATTTTGGTGTCTCCCCTCTCCCCCTAATATTATTATTTTTTTGAACTGGATAAAATATTGTTTCGACAGGAAATATTACGATTTTCTGTCAAGGTGTCACCCGATGCGGACATTACCCCCACCTCCGCCTGATGACGTTACTGTGTTTGGCTTACAGTTATCATTTTTTAGAGAAAATAATATAAAATTTAAAAAAAGAACTTATTTAATAATACAATATTAATTTACAATCAGGACTTATAAAATACACATTTTAAAAATTATTTGATTTATTTAAAACCCCAGCTTCATAAGTAGTTGTCGAAGTTGCCTACTGATAATGTTTTCCTTTAGTGCCATAAAATCCAAGCTACACCATTAATTAAATATTTCACCAAAACAATTATTATTTACAGAATTTATATAAACCATCAACTAGTTCAAGATTGGAGATTGAAAAACATGTGCACGAATTAGTACTCTACTACAGTGATTATTTCTTCACTATGACAACAACGCCATTACTCCTACAAAACGTCTGGGGCTGTGACAAGACATGCCAACCCAACGAGTCAGGATTCTTCAGACTTCTGAACTTTCGGGGAAAACTACATTCTTTAATACATGTACAGGAGGTATCACCTAACTGTAACGGCTGTTTGGTGAAGTTAGATCATAATCAAGAACACGGGAAAAGTTATATTTGTTTAGAGTATATACTACTTTTACAATACTTAAACGTAATCACAGAAGTGTTAAATGACAAGTCTGCGTTTGCTAATACGGACGTAAGTTAACTTTTCAAAATGCATTATTTTTGTTAACAAATATTACAACTGTTTGTTTATTGGAATTAATTGATATAGTTAACCGATATATCTGTTTTTTTTTACAGATAAATATTAATGAAATAGAAATGTGCAGAACATTCCAACAAAGTGCTATGGAAATCTCTGTTGCATTAAAATATTGTCTTTGTTTGAAAGAACGGAACTCTTCTCTTTATGAGGTAAATTCAGAAACAAACATTTTAGCCAAAAACATACTGCAAAGGATTTTTGGTGAAAATAAAAACAAAATTTACGTCACGGAACCAAAATTAATAACCACATTGCTTGGACTTAATGAATTGTTTGAGAATTACCTTCTCGAATTAGATATTGACTCTATCAACCATCGAGATCTACTTTACATTTTAAACTACTGGTTGGAAATAACTTTTCAAGCCATAGAAGAGACCGACCAATCTGTTTCTCTCTATGATTGTATGCTCAGGATTGGCATGTCAGCTGAGATAGCTAACTGTTATACGCATTATATCGGTGAGGAGTTTGTTAACATGTATTCTTTACTTTACTGGATCACAAAATACTTTAAAGGCTTTATTCTGTCAAACCCCTTAACGACAGAAATAACATCAGCACACCTTTTTGAAAACACCTCAAGCTACAACATATGGGAAACATGTGACATACAACGAACAGACTATGATATGTTGTTTACAATTAAAGTTCTAAATCTGCAATCACAGAGTAATTTTACTTTAGAAAACTTAGAAATGGCAAATAATAAGGTAAAAAAGTTAAGGAAAAAATTAAATGGTGAAAGCTGTCATTATTATTACCATGCG